AAGGCAAGTGTAAAGCAGTGTTTATAATTAAGTTGGGGACCTGCTAAGTTCTTGTGATTTATTGCACTCAAACTTATCTTTCCTCAAGGACAGAGAAACGAAAGAGTAAGTGCAATTTAGAGAAAATGACTATTTTCCCAGGAGGTCATATAGCAGCCTTACGGAAAAAATGACTTGAGGGACAACTTCACCACCCAATTTTTATTAGTATTTTGTTTTGAGCAATAATTTGGTTTATTGTAGAGAACATATTTGGCTAAAATAATGCCATTGCCCATTATCAGAAAGAAAAGACATCTGGATTGCTGTTGGACTTAGTTACCTTCCTCTTCTGAACTTACAAGAAATAAATGTCACAAGAGAGCAGGTGTGTGTGTGGGGGGGTGGTCAGCAGCTGGCCTTGGGAATTTGCCCTTGAGGCAGAATGGAACTTGGACTAGGATTCTGCAGCCTGTCCTTATTTCCTTGGGATTCAGAAAAAGAGCAATGAAGGAGAACCTCAGCGAAGAATCAAAAGGATCCCCCTTTGTGTGAGCTTCTGTGAAGCGTGCGCAGCTCAGCTCTGAAGAGCTAAGTTGTCCCGAAGAGGGTGGCACAGCTGATCATGACACGCCTGTTGGAAAGAACAGAGGTTATGAGGAGGAATAAAGCCTGGATCCAAACTCCAGCAAGCTGAGCGGGAGCAGCAATACCAGCAGAGGGCAGGAAGCAGGATTGTTTGTTGGAAGAGGGAGTTAGATCCAGAGGATGAAGTTTGGAAGACAATTCCTCGTTGAGTCTCCTCGTCAAGGGGCATTTGGAAAAGCTGGCTGAAGGGCTGTGGGGAGTTGTGGGACTTTGCGGTGCTGCCGCTTTCCTGTGCTGTGTGGCGTGTTGTGTGGCAGGGGGTGTCGCTGTGCTCCCTTTCACCCTTTGGTTTCCTCTCTTCCTTGATGGAAAGGGGGTACGTTTAGCATAATTATGTATCGGGATTATTTTGAGAGGCAATATCAGTAAGAGAAGATTCTTGTTGATTGTCTTTCCTAAAGAATGTAAAGCCTTGCCATCATCATCGGCACCCCCAAGATGGGACCAGGAGAGAATTTCTCAGACCATGGCCATAAGGGTCAGATGTGGACAGGAGCCACGATCCTGTGGGGAGGACAAATGGTAAACAAAGGGGAAGAGACAATGTGTTAGTGGAGACTCCGTGGCCCTGTTTCCTCTCGCTCTCCTCTGCTATACTGTGTTTTACATTCTTAGGAAAGAGGATCTGCATCTTGTCTAATGGGGAATTTCCCTGCATTTTGGAAGAGAAATAGTAATCAAAGGAATTGTGGTGTCCATGAAGAACCCATTCCTTTCTTTAGTGTCCTGAATATTTCTGGCTCAAGGGTTCCAGAAATACTAGGCGAGATGTCTCTTAATAATAACATGTTTGAGCATTATAGTAAAGTTGCAGCACATAAAAGGCATGCCCAGATATAGTATATACTTCAATTTAATAACTGTCACCTTTCCAGAGCCTATTTTAGTAAGTCCTTTGGTCAGTCAAAATTTTTACCTATTCCCCACATTAGGATTGGTCTGATAACACATTTTTGAACATAATCCCTTTATCTTCCTCGATGAATCCGTTCCCTTCTACAGTGCCTAAAGGGCGGTTTCATGTGTCTGCTTTTAGCCATCATTACGTTATTAATGTCTGCCTCCAGGGGCAGAAGCCCTTAGCTTCCTACGTCGGCACATGGTGTCTCCGGACAGAAGATTCTGCAATCACATCTGCTGGGCCATGGCTGGTACTTACTGCTCTTCAGACCCAGTCACCTGCAGTGATTCCCTGGAAACAGCCACCTGCCGTGTCCTATTGTTCATCAGCCCTAAAGGGAACCTGGCATTTTTATATGGGTCTTTTGACTAATGGCAGCAAAGCTGCACCCTGCTTGTCCAACCTGGGATTTGGAAGTAGGGAGCTGATTAGGGGGCCTCATATTCCCCCCAACATGCCCCTCCCATGATTCTTGAAAATGCCCCAAGCCCAGTCCTCCTGTTCTTTTGGGTGGGAAAATGTCACGGCCTTTTGTCATTCCTCTTGAATGGAATCAAGCCCGGAAATGATGCTCGACAACTGCCCCCGCCATGATGCGAGGGTTTGGGGGCTTAGCCTGTGGTGACTGAACTCAGGCTGCCTGCGTCCATTTCCTAGTTTTAGAAGTCAGGTTGCCACATCACACTGTGTCATGTTAAATACTTCTCATTCCAGAAATAAAATCAGGCTGGTAATAGACCACAGAATAAGATTTGAAAAGTACCTAATTCATACAATTAAAAAAAAAACAAACTTCCTCTTTTCTGTTTGTTTTGATATTTCCTGCAACTGCTTGAGGTAGTTGTGTGATGGTTACAAAAAAGTCTCAGCAGTGGAAGTAAAGGGGGGTGGACACAATGAGAAGAATAGGGAGGTTATATCTAGAGAATTGAAGTTCTGTTTAAATGAGATCTATCCTCATTGCTACTGTCCTCCTTTATCCTGGAGCTGACTTCTGCAAAACGCTCCAGGAGGGAACAGTGCCGCAGAGACATTCCAAGCGCCTGATTCTGTGTGGGCATCAGAAGAATCACCTGGGAGGCTGTGAAAGCTCTTCCCTGAGACTGGGTCAGTAAATCCAGGGTGTTCATGGGGATCTTTTCTAAAATGTTCCCTACATGATTTTGATGTGTGAATCATTTATGTCTGCAATTTTGGTGTGAAATTGCAAATTGATTGACTTCATGCACTCTGGGGAGGAAATTAAAAATCAGAATGAACACTCAAAGACAGGTATCTTGGGCACAAACTCAACTACAATTGAGGCTATCCATTACCTGCCAGCAACATTGACAGCTTTGAGAATAGTGTTTGCACCTTCTTGAAGACTGAACAGAGGCATTCAGTCTGTTTCCAAAGCACATGGCCTCTAAAAACATTCTTGCTGACTTTCTTGTCTAGTTCCAAAGCCCAGGGCTAGGCCTGCTGGGTCTGATGCAATGGGCCTGACCAAAATGCTCAGGCGCAGTAGGTTTGTGGGTGTCTCCTGATGAATTATGATGTATATGGGAAAGAAAACTTACATAAATGAAACAGTAAAGGAAAGTTCTAGGCAATGGCTCAGCAAGTATTAAATTGCAAGGAACTGACTAAATGCTAGAAGAATTCTGTCAAAAGACTGAGCACGGTGGCTTTAGACATAAAGAAGATTTGGTGGGAGAAATAAGTCTTGAAGAAAGGGACTGGGTTCAATGCTTTGAAAGGATCAGAGAAACATTTCAAACAGCGGGAAAGACTGTGACTGAGCAGCCATGATGTGGAGAAAGGGAACCAAGGATCAAAAGGCCGGGAGCACTATTATTATTTAAATGCCAACCCAGGTAAGCCCCAAACCTGCTTTCCTTCTGCCCTTTATGATGGATTAATTCAGCCATGGACAAATGTATAAATGTATAAATCTGTTTCTTCTTACCGATTTGTATAAATGTATAAAATGTATAAATCAGTTTCTTCTTATGTATAAAATGTATAAATCAGTTTCTTCTTACCGATTTGTTGTTCTTTACTCCCTTGATTAACCGAAGTTTTACACAGGGATTCTGGAATATTGTCTGACTCAATATGCCTGCATTTTAAGACAGGTGGTTGATCTGTGCATCTCTCTAAAAGAAAGTGACAAGGATAGAGAGGAAAGCAGATGAAACACTAAACTAACAGGTGTCTATTCATCATCCTTGTTTTCTTACCCTCACCCACCTTCCTGAAGTGGGGGGTGACCTGGGCAGGCTGTTCAGGGAGCTAAGGATCAAGCCATGCAGCTTGGCTCTCCTGGCTTGCTTATTAGCTCTTGGAACAAACAATTACGTGCAGATGTCTTGACAAGTCATGTTCTTCAGGAGCACTGGAGTTCTGCGTATTTAATCACTGGCAGGTGGGGAGTGAGAAAGAGCTTTCCAGAGCTGCAGACCGGCTGCCAAAGTTCACTAATCTCTCAGGGACAGCCCATTGCAATGCACTCACCACCACAAATTGACTGGTTACCTCTGTCAGCATGATTCATTTTCCTTGCAAAGCAAAAGTCAACCTATTTCCTGACTTTTTTTTATAAAAACTTTCTCTCATCCCTCCGCTGGAATATTTCTTTCACCATGATTTCTTTGTAGTCTTATTTATTTTTGTAATATGGTGTCTGGTCCTATAAAACACCTAAATTCTTCTTAGGGAGACAGTAAAATATAGATACATACATAGACATAAATATGAATACAGACATGCATTCTGCATAAATACATAAACTTTCTTATGTTTAAGTAAGCAATTATGAGGGGGAAAAACTCAGGTCAATCACCTATATATTCATCTGATGAGAGACAGGATTAAAACTAACCTCTGAAGTTGATTTTTAAAGACTTTCTAAGAGAAACAGTTTGTCTCTCTGGTGTATTTTAATGTTTCATAGTTGTAGGGTAAGGTAAATCAGCCTTTTCTGCCCTCCCACCATCAGGATGGATGATGGATCCCTGCGGTCGTGAATGCATGCCTGATGGCGGGCACCTGGAGTGGGGTGTGGGCATACGTAGGTGGGTACACCTGGGCTGAAAGACTGGGCTTCTAAGGGTGGGGTCACGGGGATGCCAGGAGGAGAGCAAACAAATTAGGGCGAAAGGAGCAGAGAAGCAGAGGCCACGAGAGAAGGCCAGGGAGCCCAGGAAGAGGGAAGATTCGCCTGGGGCTGGGAGGCCTGCCCAGCTTCCCCCCGCACCCCCTACCCCCGCCTGCTGTGTGCCTGGTAACATCCCAGTAAAACCCTGAAAAAAGCCACCGAGGGCTCCAGGACTCCCCCTTTACCTGGTCTGCTGGGATCACAGCGATCCCGCCCTGGGTCTTCCCGCCGCTGTACTAGTGCTCAGCATCAGCATCAGGAATTACTTTACGGTTAGCCTAAATTCATAGCTTACATTTTCAGAGGAATTCCCCTTTGTGTCCAGCTCCTGGAGGCCCAGACTGCTCTCAAAGTCACATTTTGGGGTGACCACTCTACCTGGTGAGTCCCTTAGGGTTTTAGCCCTAGGGTGTGGCAGGTACAGTGTCTCAAGGGAGGCTAAACGCTGGGGCAAGTGGACTCAAACCTGAGGTCTGCCTGAGATCCCTGAGGACCGCCAGTCCCACTCTCCTGGCAGCAGTTCCCCTAGAGGGGTCTTGAGATTTGGGCAGGTAGCTGGTTCTGTTAGGGGGAACAGGATGTCCTAAAGCTAATTCCATACAGGCTTTGTGGACTCCACCCCCACCCCAGGCCAAAGGCAAAGACACTGGAAACTCCAAATCCCATCCCCACCAAAGGGAAGGTGGCTGGGACCTGAGGGTGGGGTTAAGCAGCTGGGTGGATATAAAGCCAGACACGTGGGCTTTGGGGGGGGGAATCCCCATTTTGGCTCCCCGCCAGCTCGCAGTGTCCAGCCAGCCCTGAGAATGCCTTTGGGTTTCCAGGTCGGTGGATCGGGTAGGATGCATTAAAGACTTTATTTCCCTATTTTCTCCCTGAGTTGTACATTTCCTCATTTCCCTTTCCCTTGTTAATTAATCTTTTATTAACCTTTTGTGTGTGCCTGTAGTGGAGTATTCGTAAGTCCCTTTTAAGCGCGCGGGTGAGGACCCACAGCCAGGAACCCGTTCAGTATCGGGGCTGCCCTGTAACAGTTCCAGCCCCATGTGGTACCGCTGAGTTGTCGCCAGGCCACCACAGTACTGGATTAATTCTGTGGGGCCTCTGGATCTTCGCAGGGTGCCGCTTTCTGAGCCCCTTGTTCCAGACTCGGGGTCTGCTATGAGGTTTCCGTCCAGCCTCCCCGTGTTGTCACACCATTCCTCTGGAGACTTTCATCCTGAATGGTGCAACGCACTCAAAACATGGAGACCCTCTCGCTCTAGCAAAGTGAGACAAACTCCTAGAAACACAGGACTAATTTCTTAGAAGCTTTCCAGCAGGGGAGGTGAGAAGCTCTCTTGATGAGTCACTCTTTCCAAGGAAGGAGAGAATAACTTTCCTGAGGAAACAGAACGACAATAGACACGCACCCACGCAATATCTTCAGGGAGGTCTTACTCCTACGGAAAAGAAGCAGAACTGAATGGCGTTCTGGATTTTGTTATAACAGCACATCAGAAGCTTAGTGATCATTATTAAATTCATATCTTCCCTTCCTTCTTTTCCTCAGGCACAGCAACCACAATCTTTTCAGCCTTTAAAAATTAGATGTTTTTCAAACTCGAACATCTTTATTGATTTTCTTTTTTCCTCCCTCAAATCCTCATCTCTCTTGAAAATTAACACCATGACTGTGTGAAGGCTTTGCTTGATGCAAGGTTATGTCAGGATTTTAAATGCCGTGTTGATAGCCACTCACCCCTTGCAGAATTTCATTTCATAATCTATTTAATTGTACTGCTTTGCTGAATCACACCGAGCTTTGATCCATAATGTCCAGAGAGCCGACCCTTCTTAGAGGCATGGGCCTTTCAGATGGTTTCATTCTTTTCCTATAATAAGCACTTCCGCAGGCTCTAATTGCTGAGCATATGGTCAGGGTAGAAGATGATGATAAGCTACATCCTGGCTGATCCCGATCATTTATCTGTTTTCTGTGCCTCCCTTCCAGATCAGCTGGGGGTGATTTCCCAGGCACTAGAAATGCTCTCTATCTCTTGGCTCTTTCAGAGTTCACACAATTGCTTTCAGGGATCCTGCAGGTCCACTATCAACACAACACAATGGGGTGGTGACTCCTTTGTTTCCTCCTGGGTCACAGGGCTGTTATTCCTTATGCTAGTAGCTCCTGGCTGAATGTGAGGTGAGCTTGTGGGTCGGCTAACACCCCAGGGAAACTGCCTCCCAGGGCTCCCCACTGCATTGCTGCCTGAGGTCAGTTTGATGGATTTTTAGTTTCTATCCTCAGGCTCCACCTGTTTTAGTTAACATGTATTTGGCTCTAAGTTATATTAACTCTGCCCTAAAGATAGGTTAGTCAAATAGAGTTTCTTTTGCCTCTTATAACTGGTATTTTTTTAGTTGCTAACAACTTCCTCAGTTACTAAGACCAATTAAAACCCCAGATCCTTCAACTTCTTTATCCCCACTCACCTCATCAAAGTATGTTGTCTGTGTTGCCTGAAGGATCATTAATTAGTCCATAAGATAAATGATGAATAGATATAAAATTACACATACAATAAACCTATTCAAAGCTGCTCTCTTCTCCCACCCTCGTGTTTGACACTTTCATATATCTCTGTTGTTCCAGGGAATATCTGAGGACATGATCACCAGCCTCCAAGATGGTGCCAAAGTTCTCACTTCTTGATACTCATACCCTGGCATGAAACGAGGTAGGCATGGTGTAGCACACATGGGAGGAGAGCATGCTCTTTCCAAGACAAAGGTATAAAAGAGTGAAACTTCTGTCTTGGCCTTGTTCTTTTCCCCTCCCTTTTCCTCTGCAGAAGTCCAGCTGCCATATTGTCGGCAGCTCTAGGAAAAGGAAGGAAGAGGTGAGAAGCTGAGGTCTCCAGCCAAAGCCATTGTGGAACTGTAACAGGGTTGTCCCCAGGAAAGGGGGAGGTTCTCTGCCCCACCCAAGGGAGGGTGGAGCTGAGCAGAAAGAGGAGAAGCAGCAGAAGAGACTGAGGAAGGAAGCAGGATGGAGCCAGGAGACCTGGAGGAGGCGCATGGAGCCTAGAGACACGTGAAGAAGCTGCGCTTGCCTTTTGGTCGTGGACTGGGTGACACAGATGTGGGTGAGACCCGTGGGGAGGTGACAATAGCAGCTTTTATCTTGATGTTGATTTTGCTCTTTTCCTTCTGGGCTTGTCTGGTTGTTTCTGACCCTTTGCTGTGGGTCCCCACTGGAAGATGCTTTAGACTTGTGGCAGGCTTTGGGGCCTTGCTCTGGGCCAATCCCATTTGGATGGACTTTTACCCACGAGGGGACGGGTAACTTTGGGTTGTTGATTTAGAAACTAGACTCTTTGCCTTTCCTGTATTGTTTCCTAGTTGTATTAAAGTTCCTTCCCATTAAAGTCTCCTATGTTTTGTGTTGATGCGGCGGATGGCAGAACCCATTTAGAATAGGCAGGTTTGCGGGGTTTGGGCTGCCCCTCTCCCTGTCCTATAACAGAACCTCCAGCCCCAGTGGAACATCAAGTAATTGCAGCCTCCTGAAATACTATCTGAGTCTGAACCATCGGTTATTTCCCCATTTTTGACCCACAGAGACTGTGAAAAAAATTAATGTTTGTTGTTCTGAGTTGCTATTTTTTAAAAACATATTTTTAAGTTTTATTTATGCATATAGAGCTGGGGTACAGGCCAGAAATGCGGGGGTGGGGGTGCTGGGGTGAGAGGATTCATCAGAGACAGAATAGGGAGCAGAGCAGTCAGATTGACCAAAGTACACTGCTGAAGGGAGCAGCAGGTGAGACAGGAGAGGTCTGCTGCGCCATGTGGGTTGCTCCCTGGCCGGCTGGGGATCGAACTCATGCTGCAGAGGCTGCGGGCTGCTTCATAGTGCGGTGCTTAACCCTTTGTGCCACCAGAGAGGCCCCTGAGCTGCTAATTTTTTAGGTGATTTGCTACGTAACAATAAATGACTACTATAGATGGGTTAACTGACAATACATAACAAAATATACATAACAAAATAGAACAAAGTAAAATAAGAATAGGGAAGAGATAGTAGCAGTCATTGCAAAAAGGAGACACAATTAGTACCATTCAGAAAGAAATTTCTTCAATAGACCTTTTTAGAAATAATATTATACAATACCATGAACAAAAAACAAAAGTTTCAAAAATAATTTTACAGTAGAAATAAAATATATAAAGTTTATTAATCATATAATTTGTAAGAAATAGAATGTTGCCCTTCAAAAATGTACTTTTAGCCCCAGTCAATGCCATTGGAGTTTTGGATGTAACCTCTGGCCATAGCCATCCCAGACTGAGCTAAAAACTACCCAGAACTCATAAATATGAAGATTTGGTGAGAGTGCAAATATACAGATCAGATTATTCTTCTGCAGGCATACTTTTAAAAATTGAACTTTTTTTAAAAAGATCATTTTATTGTGAAATGTGGCTCATTTTGAAAGGGCAGGAAATGTAAAGATACCACTAAATAAATTATTATCATTATTATTTATTATTATTAAATAAATTATTATTAAAAGTTTATTTATTGCTATTGAAGTACCATTATTCACATACTTGGCAGTGTTTTGGGATTTTAGGGTTTCTCCCCTCAGGTATAGTCACCGTAGCTCTCCTCCCAGCAAAGCACCCATAGTCCTCCACCAAGGCCCACTGAGGTCTAAAAAAAGAAATATAATTTTTTTAAAGATTTATTTATACAAGAACTGGGGTACAGTTCAGATGCGCTAGAGGGTGAGAGGATTCACCAGAGACAGAGCGGGGAGCAGAACAGGCAGACTGACTGAAATACACTGTTGAGGGGACCGGCAGGCGAGTCAGGAGAGGTCTGCTGAGTCATGTGGATTTCTCTCCAGCTGGCCCGGATGCAACCTGAGCTGCAGAGGCTGAGGACAGCACCACAATGGGTGCTCAACTGCCTGTGCCACCAGGGAGGCCCAAAAAAAGAAACTGAATTTTTAATTAATTGTTTAATACAAGAATGCATTTATGAGACCCAGTAAAACCCTGGAAAGTAAACCTCCCTACTAACTGTTCCAGAAAATGTTTCAGAATCTTCATTTATATATCAGGCAGCTAGAAAAATACAAAACCTCAAAAAGACAGCTAGGTAATCATTTCCCATGTGGATTCCTTAGATCTGAGCTTTTTTTTTTTTTTTTTTTTTGATAATAGACATTGAATGTGGCAACTTTTAGGGCACTATAGTCATGAAAATGAATCTGCAACCACATATGTGTATTTATTGTGCTGGAGTTGGCTGGCACCACATCAGTTCCTGATGAGGTGATCCGACTTCATGCTGATCACTTGAGATCAATCAATTGTTAAAACTTCTCCAGAATACCACTGATGCATTTCTCCAATAGCATGTTGTGCAGGAGGCCGAAATAGCTCAGCTGGGAGAACTGTTAAGCTGAAGAATGTTGAGCAAATGAAGCAAAAGAATGCATGCAATATGATTGCATTTATATGTAAATGGCAAAAAATAAGCCAAACTGTCTCTGCTTATAGGGCAGGATATATGTCGCCTTGGGGAAGAGTAACGAATGGAAGGGACATGAGGTGGGGAGATTTTATTTCTTACTTTGAATACTGTTCTATGGATGTACCCACTTTAAACAATTCACAAGCATGGACTCTTAGGAGCAGATGTACATGTACAGATACATTATCCACCAGAAGATAAAAATGCCCCCAAAAAGTCAAGCCATTAAACTGAAAATGAGTCAGCAAGAAAAAAAAAAAGCTTATAGAACAAAAATAAGATGTATAATAGAAGACACCGAAATCTATTAAATGCACAACTTTCTGCAGGAGCTGGGTGTCGTGTTTGACACACTGTAGGTGTGATAAGTATTTATGGAATCAATGAACAAGGGAATGTATCTTTGAAAATTCTTCCTTCAGTCAAGTCTTCAAATACATTATTTCAAATTCTTGCATAGAAGGCTTTTTGTTTTGTCAACATAAAAACATTTCCTAGTTCAAGATTGAAATAGTAACAATTCTCTTTCTCTTGTTATATACATTTTTTTTTCAATCAATGGATTGTGTAGCCTAACACATGAGACAGTCAACTGGTAGCCTAAGATATCTGGAAATAATTCAACACAAAGTGCTTTAAGAAATAGTTCAAAGAGTCTTCATTTGTATCTACTTAGTCTGGAGTGAAACTTATGAAGCGACTGCTAATGCTATCTGTTGGTGACAGAATTGATTGTTGAAAATATTCCCATGAATGGATCCTTATTTGGTTTTATGAAAGTTTGATAATTCAGATTCACAACAAGAGTAGCTTTTATGAACATCCTGGCAAATTCTCCTTAGAATTCATCTATTAACATGGGCTGAAGCTTTTATTTCATTAGGCAAACAAAACAGAAATTATTCATATAATAAAGTATGGTATAATATAATACAGCATAATATGATATGCTTTTTCATCTCTCTTTGTGAGATCATGCCTTAATAAAGAAGATGGAATTAACATAGAGTGGGCGGGACTCCATTAAATTTCTTTTAGGAAACACTTCATAAATATTATTTCTCTCAGCTAAATTTCTGAAAAATATTGAGTAACTGTGAGTTTGTGTTTACACGCTAACAAGTACGTGGAGTGCAGCTTATTCTGTTGCTGTTTGTGTTGGAGGTCTCCGATTTAATAGCCAGAAACACTGAAAGTCAAACTGACATTCTGTTAGCAATACCAAGAAGCATAACAAAACCAAAAATCTTATCCTATTAGGAAAATGACCCCTAAGTCCTTAGTAATGTAACTAAAGTCACATACTCTCCATTTGAGAGTTCCACTAGTATCTCTCTATTGCTTGACTGATTTAAATTTTATCAAGAATCTACATTATAAAAAAAATCTAAAGGCAGTTTTTAATTTCTGGGCTTGATATCTACAAAGTGGAGACAATGATAGCTAAAGAAAATTATGAGCTTGAATTAAAATATATCACTAAAGTGTCTTTGTATCTCGCAAAAGAGAAACTATCCCTTTAGAGAAATGACATTGTATTTCCATTGTTCCTAGCTGGCATGTATTTGAATTTGATTAAATTTTAAAAAAAAAATTGTTCAGAGTCCCTACTCTGTACTATTCTGCCGGCATTTACTGGGGTGTGTATAGGAATAGCTCAGGGCATAATCCTGTGATCAATACCTTCTAACAAACTTGGGGAAGACAGGTACACATGGGTGAAATGGACATATATGCCATATAGTAGGCCTCTTGGCCACACGAGTGCCATTGCAACTTAATTGGTACTATTAAAAGGCCCTGAGTATACTGATTATATTTTATATATAATATATAGGAAATCTCTATATATGTATTTGTGAATACACACACACACACAACATTGGGTTAAGTTCAAGTTAATTGGATTTGTGTATTTTCATAACATACATTTCATAACAAGCATTTTCATAACATACGTTACTTGAATTTCCAAGAGGGAGAGAATATTGTATTTCCCAGACTTATTTTTTAACTTGAAAACTTTGTTCTGAGACCATCCTGATGGAGAACTTACATCATTAATATTGCAACTCAGGATATAGCAGCAAAATGCAGAGCATTTGAATTTAGTCGACTTGAATTTAAATCCTGACTTCTATTTTTCAGTTTTCTAAATTTCAGAAACATTATTGCTGAGCTTCATTAAAAGAATATAACTATTACAGATTTCCTTCTTTTTTAGCAGTACATTGGACTTGGCTCCAGAATTGTTAAGTAATTTTTAATATTGAAAAATTATTGTTACAATGTTAAATTATCAGGTTAAAAATCTACTTATTGGTATTGTTGAACTGCTTATCTACTCCCATATTACCTTGACTAATACATGCATTATTTATCTATATGTAATAAATTATATTAAATAAAAAGGAAATAAATACTCAAAAATGATTACTCCTTAATTACTTTATTATATTTTACTGCTAGTTATGCTCTTGACATTATTTCAGTTTATCATTATATCGGTATGAAGGAAATCCTGTGTCATTGTGTGCTATTCTGTGTCACTTCCCAACTCTATGATCACTGTGTCATAGCGTGTAGTAGGCCGTGGTGGCATATTTTTACCATAGGAGGCACGAATACTACCAAGCAGTCCCCTCCTTCTTGCCAGCTGTTCCACATTTACCAGCACATCACTGGTTTAGTGACACTTAAATGTGTCGTGTATCTTAACCTCTTTGAACAATGATTTCATTGTGGGATAAGTAGAAATAGCATAACAGGATGCTATGACATTCATTCCTGTTGAGATAATTCTTGTTGCTGGCAGAGGTATCAAGGTGAAAAGGAATATAATAAGCTTCTCTGAGGAGAACA